CGTGCAAGGGCAGTGAAGAATTTGCACTGCCAAGAGATTAAACCTGTGGCTAAGTCGGAGGGCACAGAATGCACACACAGAGGGGGCTTAGCTCACCATCACTCAACATGTAACACCAGCTGTCTTCATTATAGTCATCACCTCTCCCACCAGGCTTCTGTATCTGCTCATGAGGGGTCTCCAAGGGTACATAGTGCCTGTTTCCATGTTCCTCAAACCAGTTTGCCAGCCAGCGGGGGGCTCCAGATCAGGGGTATGAGGACTCTGTGCAGCCTCGGAAACTGAGATCACTACAATGATGACATCTAGTATGTGTATGCACTTATGTATGCAAGGCTCCGGAATAAGCACTACACACAGCATTTAACCTGCGCTATAAAACCACGTTTGTTAGTCTCATTGTGAAGCGGGGGAAACTGAGGCCCGGCGAGGTGGAATAACTCATGCTGGGACACCCAGTAAGAGGAGCAACCTGGCTCCAGAGTGCTCAGCTGTCTCTTGAGGTAGCATGTTGAACAGCGCCCAAAACAACCCACTCCGACTCCTCCCCCAAAACCTGGCCCCGGAGAAGATGGTACGAGAGGGGCAGGTTCAGAGGTGATTTCTGCTCTGAGAGTCATTTAGGACATGGTCACAAGAGCTCTTGTGATTCTGCTGCCACTGCAACCACTGCAACATTTCCTTGTGCTCTGAGCTTCTCCTGAGTGTCTGGCAAGCCTCGCGATAGCGGGCCACTGGGGCATTTTCAAGTCTCCATCTCCTCTCCAGGGGGACGGGGCAGAAAGCCAGTGCCATCAGAGGTGCAGCTCTGCTGTGCACCCCACACCCCTAACCTCTCAGCACAAGTGCACAGCAGACACGTGCTGAAGAAAAGGATAAAGGCACAGGAATGTGAAACGTCTAGACAGGTAATAACACACACATTCTTTTCTGTGTGTTTGTTTCTTGAGACAGCCTTGCTATGTAGTCCAGGATGGCCTCAAACTCACAATCTTCCTGCCTCAGCCTCCAAAGTGTGGGAATCATGCTTGACTACATTTACCATATTTTTTAATCTACATTCATTTTGCAAAAATATTGAAATGTTAGCTTCACAATTTCTCTTATTCTGCTTCTCCAGACAAGAAACACTATCTATTCTGCATTAGAATTACGGCAAGAATTATCTCTTAGCAGGAACCATATGATTTCGATGCACAGATGAGTTTCAATTAGACATTTATCTAACCATGCTAATGTGTTTTAAATTTAACCCTAAATTACAGTCCTTCTGAATAACTCTGTTCTTCCCTCTGCTTCTCTCTCTTCAATTTTGGTTTGGTTTTGTGAGAGGTCTGCTGGTAAAAATGAAGCAATACCAGTAACTTATCTACAAATTACGGGAAGGAGAAAGTAGGTTAAAAAAGACCAAGAAACTTAAAACAAATTTGATCAACCACATCCGAGCCAGGCAGGAAACAATAGGAGACACTTCTTGCACACAGGGAAGGAAGGTCACTAACACAGGACTATTTTCAAGCAAGTTACAGGTGAGGTTCACCTCACTTTTGGGGCCTCTTCCCCAATTTCAATTGCAGTCAACAAAATATGAGCAGCTTTTATCTCACACCTGTGAAAGGGAGTGCGGGATGAGAAAGCTGACACTTTCACTCTGCTCTTTCCACACTAGAAAGAATCTCGCTTTCAGTTCAGGCATCCATCGAGACTGGGACTGTGAACAAAAGGGGCTTTGTGTATCTCTCACCCCAAGAAGAGGCCCCCCAGGAGGAAGGACAGCTCTGCTAAACACTCCCTTTGAGAAGAGAGTTCAATCAAGGTGGGTGTCCTAAGCTAGGAAGTCACCAGTAATCTGCAGTGTGCTCCTGCTCCAACCGCAAGCCCAGCACATCCATGTCAATGCTTTACCTGTGATACCATGCAAGCAAGATGTGACTCTTGGAGGAAAGTGGGGAAGATCTCTCTATTATTCCTTACAAAGGCATGCGATCTACAGTTATCTCAGTGAGAATTTTCAATGAAAAAACTGCCTATCAACAGATGGGTGAAGAAAAGGGGTATATACATATAATGCAATATTATTCAGCTTTTACAAAAAAAGTCAACTCTGCCATATGTAACAACATGGATGAACTCCGAGGACATGCTACAAAATGAAACCAGCCAGTGACAGAAGGATGACTACTACATGATTCCATTTATATGACGCATCCAAAGTCATCAGACTAACAGAAGCGGAGAGGACAGTGGTGACGGCAGGGGTGGGGAGAGGTAGGTAAGGGGAGTTGCTCAATGGGTATAAAGTTTGCTTATACAGGTGGCTCTGTGGCATATGGAGAGTACGCTGAGCTTCAAGATGAATGAGCCCCAGAGATTTACTGGACAACATTGGCCAACGATAATATATTATGCACTTAAAATTTTGTTGAGGGAAGATGTCGCATTAAGTGTTCTTACCATAATGTAAAACAACCTTGTGAGCCCCAGAGCCCCAAAGACCTCTGAGCTCATCTCTGACAACACCAAGTCTAGCTGCAGCACTGCCATGGGAGACATTCTGCGATGAGGCCTTAGCAACTACACAGGGGATGTGCCACGACGTATGCCAGAGGGAGCCAATACGTCTCAATTTGGTATTAATGTCAACAGAGGGGGCTGGCGGGGACAAACGTGTGTCTCAACAGATGGGGCAGGCTTTGTGGAGCTTCCTGCAGGACTGTGTACACAATGCAGACCAGATCTTCCGGCTATTCAAGAGATTCTAGAAATCAAGATCATCATGTGAAACTTTGTAAAGTTTAACATTATCAACTTAGCAAACTTTCTTCTAAACACTGTGAAGGGCAAATCAAATAGGTCTGAGGGCCAGGTTGTAACCTGTTGGGCACTTGGAATATATTTTCTCCCATTCTCAACAGCAGCTTCCATAGTAGGGCTTGCTTTCCTCGTTTCCTAACCGGGGTAAAACAACTTGCCTGAGGTCACCCTGCCGGTGGGGTACTTGGCAGCTCTGGCTGAAGGCCCTTTGGTTCTGCCAACATGGTATCCACTGCTTGCACTTAGCAAAAGCTAGCTCAAGAAGCTGCACAGGAACACTTCTGGCTCCATAAATACCAAGGCAGCTGTACATTTTCCAGACCAGATGACATCACGAACTAGAGCTTAGGGGAGGGGTCTTTCCCGTTTAGCGAATGTTACTTAATCTCTAGGTTAAACCCTCTTAGAAACACTCCTTCCCTTTAGAGCGATTATACAACTTGAGATAGGACATTTATCTGTATATGTGCCCACATCTGTCTCTTCTATAGGCACAGAAACTCCAATGCAACAGAGATCATTTATGATGTAGTCTATCCACAGAATGAGGAGCACAGCACAAAGGGCTTAATGAACCCTTGTTGAAAGAATTAAGAATGAGAAAAGCCACGGGCTGGGGATTTAGCTCAGTGGTTCTTCCGCCTACCTCAAAAGTGCAAGGACCCGAGTTTGATCCCTGGTACCCCCCCAAAAAAAAACCTCACAAAGAATGAGAAAGGCCACGAAAAAGCCTCACTCAATCTGGCTGAACTAATGCTGCCACCATGATGGATAGAAAGTTTCTGGGACCTTTTCAGAGGTCCTCCTCTTCCCTTGAATAATAATTATAATAATTATTTTTTAAAAGGCCCAACCAGACCACTGTACACCAGAAAAACCAGAAAGGCAGGGGCCTCCTGTAATTGTACTCTCTGAAGTGATGGCCTTTCATCTGCAGGATTACAATTTACCCACACATCCAGTATGGCAACACAGGTACTGCCCTGGAACCAGCCTGGCCCTTTAACCCTCAGCTCCTACCTGCTGAGCACCTGGCTGCAGAGACAGCCAGCCCTTAGGAAACAGCTCTTTGTAGAAGACACTCTGTGCTTATCTCAGACATGAATGCCAAGGCCATGTTGCAGCCGAAGGAACTTAGAAAGGGTGAGATCTCTGACAAGAGGGAACCAGGTGTAAGGGCCTTCCAGGCTGTGTGTACAGTCAGGGCACAGGTACAGAGGCAGAAATATGGGGCAGTTGAGAGAAAAGTGAGCTGGGTCAGTACAAGGGCAACCGGAGCTCAGGACAAATGGGCAGGATTGTAGGAAAGGTGCAGCAAAGAAACACAGGGGACAAGCAAAAAAAAGTCTTGAAAGAAGTAACAATACTAGTCATCAGGTGTTTCCCTGCAAATTCAAGATCTTGCACATCACAAACATGTTCTATTTAGCCTATATGCAAAGTGTGTTGATAATTTGAAACCTGCAAGATTTTATATAAAAATGGAGATCTCCAAGCTTCTCTGGAAACATGAGAAAACTTGGCAACAGCACATCGTATTTCTGTAGAACAACTGAAGATGGAGGTGAAACGACGGATGCACACAAAGGAGGCAAAAGCTCTTCAATCTGCCACAGTCCTCAGCACTCCCCACTGCTCTCTCCCGGGGCCGCAGCACTCAGACAGACAGCCGCAGCCCAACTTTGGTAGATATCGGAGCCTCTCACCTCTGATCCCTCCCAATGACAGTGCCTCACAGATACACAATCTGAGGCATAGAGTGATGCTGTTACTCTTCAATAGCATATGATCAATCAAATCCACCATTCACACCTGATCCCAGGCTCTCCTGGGTATGCATTTCCAGCTCTGATTAGGTTTCCTGAAACCCAGACTGGTCAGGCATTGGCACCACTTCTGTAAAAGCAGAATGTTGGTTTCTGGTTTTAGAGAATCACAGACTAACAAAATAAGGAAAGGATGAGCCTGGCGTGATGGTATATGTCTGTAATCCCAGCACTCAGGAGGCTGAGGCAGGAGGATCACTGTGAGTTGGAGACCAGCCTGGGCTACATAGTGAGTTCCAGGTCAGTCTCGAGTACACAGCAAGACCCTGTCTCAAAAAACAAAACAAATAAACAAAAGAAAAAAAACAAGGAAAGTCTTCTTATCAAGGCTGAAAAACAGTCCCAAAGCTGGTGACTTACAGAACTCCTCTGAACATCCTGTTCAGTCTTAGCGTACATCTCAGATAGATCACCGTTCAGAATGACTTCAGCTAACGAGTTCACCAGTGGCGCATGATGTATGATGAGGAAGACCTGTTGGAAGAGTAGAGATGAGATGTGTGGTAAAGTGCGCAGCCTTCCGACGCCTTCCTTCCCTGATCAGGACCAACCAGGCTGTGCCAAAAAGAGTCCAAAGACTCTGTCACATCCAGAAAAAGTCGGCTATTCTCTTCTAGGGCTGGGCTCTCCTCCAGACTGTTGCCTGTTTGGCTGGCTGCTCTTCTTCAGGAGGAAGTGCATCAAAGTGAGCCAAATCTACCTGAAGTGGAGCAACATGGAAGGACAAAGCCAAGCAAGCACACTGCTTCCTTCTCACAGACATGTTAGTGTCACATCTGACTACTAGATAGAATGAATGCACTGTCCCAGTACATAGTTATACCAGAAGAAGGAGTTGTCAGGTATTGTCCCAGTCCAGGACTTGGCAAAGGCACAGCCTTAGAGATTCCATCACATACAGTACAATTTTGGCACACAGATATTCTTCGTATACAAGTGGCAGATATACAACACGCTGTGCTACAGCTTGTTGCCTTTATTTTCAAACCAAGCTAGCCTGTGCTCTATGTCCTGGGGTGGGATTTAGCACACTGTGACCCCATGGCTATATCTGTAAGTGTGGAAACTGGGGAAAAACCACACAAGCCAGAGGCAGATCTGGTCATACCAGGATGTGAAAGAGCAGGCTTTGGTCTAAGAGGGCCCTGCTACCCCACCCTGCGGCCCAATGTTCAGAGGAACAGCTTTGGTATCAGGGTATTCAAAACCACCTACTGGTCCAGATACACTTGCTATCTTGGTTTGAAAAGTAAAGGCAAAAAGGTGTAGCACAGTGTGTTGTGCATCTGCCACTTGTATACAAAGAGTATACGGGCGCAAAATTGTACTTGTTCATTTATATGTGCAGAGAGCAGGGCTTCTCCAACTTGGCATTATTGACACTTTGGCCTAATCCTTTGAGTGGAGTAATCCTGTGCACTGCAGACACTTAGCAACAGCCCCGACCTCTCCCCTTAGACACCAGTAGCACACCCTTCCAAGGTCACGACAATTAAATATATCTCAAGAACATACGAGATCCTGCCTAGGGTGCAAAATCACCCCTAGTTCAGAACTCCCGGCAGTGACCATCTTGGGAAGGACATACAAAGACTGATCAAAAAATATGATGTTTACATTAAAACTTTTATCACAGTAAGACACATTGCCTTCAGTGCCCCTCAGAGTCCTCCCTCTCACTCTGACACATTTACTGCACCCTTCCTGCCACTTTCGGAGGCAGTTCTAGAAGTCCTCTTTCGTGTCTCTGTGAGCTGTGATCAAAAATACAGTGAATGTTGCTGCCAAGTTCCTTCCAACAGAAAGCAGCCTCATAAGAACATGATGGTGTGGTTCTGCTGCCTGCCTCGTGAGTGCAAGGTCCTGAGTTCAATCCCTGGTACCAAAAAATAAACCCCAAAACACGATGGTGTGTCTTCATCCAATGTATTCATTGGCTCTGGTACTATGTGACTTCTGCTTCTTCTCCAGAGTCAAAATGACCACAAAAGGTCAACAATGTGTTCAATCAATCCAGGACATCAAGGCAGCCAATAGCATAACTAAAGACACTCATGAAAGAGGACTTCCAGAGCTGCTTCAGAAAGCAGCCAGTACAATGGGATAAGGATGTGCAAAGCCAGAGGGATTATTCTGAGGGAGATTAATGTCAATTAATCTTTTACTAATAAATACATTTTTTACTAATAAATTTTTTAAATTAAATCTTCACTGTATTTTTTGATCCTCATTTAAAAAAAAAAAATCCTGTAGTAGTTGTTGTATTTGGGGTAGAAACCAGGAGTCTGAACTCGAAAAAAATGAAAACACGATGTTCACTTTGTTGAACTTTTTAATTAAAAAAAACTTTACTTAAAAAGAATTAACTTCGTGAACCGAAGTACCACTGAGTTAGATAGCTGCACTACTGGTTCTTCACTAAGAAAACAGAAGAAGCATTCTAAGAGAAAAGGTAAAAGTCCTCCCCACTAAAGTACCCTCTTTGGGGTACCGCAGCCATGTAAGGCTTCAACAGCTGCTTTCCACAGGACTCCCGTGGCTGAGCAACTGGCCTGTTTGGGTCCCACCAGACTCCCAGGACCCCCAGCAGGAGATGCCGGTGGATCTACAACGAGGTGCAGAAAAAGCCGCCAGGGAGGCTGAGGTTGTGCTGACCTTTGGCACAGAAGGGCATTTGGACAAAGTGGGCACCGTGCAGAGATCTGAGCAAACACAGCCACAAGAGCAAGGCTCCAGGTGTAAGCGTGGACAAGCCACAGCCAGATGCCAGTCGGCCAACCCACTGCAGGAGCCAGCAGCGGGGTCTCTCTTCCCAGGCCAGTGGGAGCTGGCCTCACCCCAAACTCCAAGCAGTGAGGGATCCAGTTAGGACAGACTTTCGTCAATGCTAATAAATACCGGTGCCATCACAAAAGTAAGAACAGAGCTCTGGTCAAACGTCTGACTACTTGACAGGCTAATGAGATGGCCTGTGAGTCTGGACCGTTAGTAATAAAAATATTTTTAAAGTTATGTAACTGGGTCACCATGGAGTTTTTCCCCTCTTGTAAATATTACATAATTACAAGAAGGAAACATAGTTGTTTAAGGAGGCGAGGCAGACAAACTGGCTTGAGACACAAATCTGAGACTGGAGGCTGCCATAAGACACCTTTCAGAAGGTAGTCTGGGAACTAGAACCACAACAAAATTCTTTAAAAATAGCCTCACTGCAGGAAGTTTGTCAAGCCAAGTTTACTTCGTGTATGTACCCCTGGGCCAGCAGCTTGGGCCTTATTTCAAAAAAGTATCAATGAAAACCATGCAGCCCCCATTTCCAGGTATTTAAGAGCACTCCTTGGTTGTTTTGAAAACATCAGGCCCCACATAAAACTCAATTACACAAGGGCTAGGTTTGATCTATTTTTCATTTCTTTTAAAAGTTCTATCCCTTACTATGAAGCCACCTTGACTCAGTAACTAGAAAACAGAATGCCCCTTTCTTTATACTGTGATTTTATTTCAAGACAGGAAACACAGAAAGAGACGGGCACTGCAGTCTGGAGGCTTCCCGAAAGGCAGCAGCACTGCACAGGACCCCACACGCGCCCCCAGGATGCCGGAGAACAAGCAAACATACCTGGGACAGAAGATAGAGAGACACTGGCAGGCTGATTTTTGGTCGTTCTCCTCCCTAGAGAAGGGTGAGGGAAAGAGAGGGAGAAGGGGGTTCAGGTCACAGAAGGGAGCCACAGAAATACACTACACCAAAGGCCAGCTGTGTGAAAAAGTGCCGTGGTCCCTGACTTCTCCCTGATCCAAAGGCCCTTTCGCGATGCTAGGCAAACGTTTACTCTGCAGTAGACAGGCACAGCCTAATCCCATTCAGTGCTATTGGCTGGGCCACTGTCTCCACCTACAGAACCCAGTCCCAGATTAGGGGCTGACCCAAAAGAGGTGCTTCCTCCTGAGGGTACCAGGAATGCTCATTTCTCCAGCTGGGCATTCAGATCCTAGTAGAGAGGCCTGAGAGACCTGTTCTGGGGAAGGGGCTTCAAAACATGAGGGAGGGGGAGGTTTGGGGCACTGTAGTCTCGAAACACCCCTTCATTTTTACTGAGCTTCAGGTGTCCTACCTCACACCAGCTAGACAGAGGGGGATCTTCAGGACCCTCGTTTTCCAGCCAAAGAAGTAAACTCAGAGAGGTTAACTGCCTTGCCCCAGGTCACAGGTTTAGGAAATCAGGGAGGCAGAAATTTGACTCCGGTTCCCAGGCTTGTTGTTGCCTCCCCACAAAGGAGGCAACAAAGCCTGCTGATGAGCCTGTTATTGAACCGTTTCCAGTGGGACTAATTAGAGCTGAAACATTCTTTAACCATATTTATGTATTTGTGGCAAGAATCTCCATGTTCCATCTCCAAAGGGGAAACAACATCCTCCTGGGACACATCTGAGGAGGTCCCCTAGAGGGGGATCAGCTGGCTGTCCTGCCTCCCTGCCCTGAAGCCATGTTTACCATGAGGGATCCCAGAACCAGAGCCCAGGACCACCTGGGGGTAAACTACTGGTCCCAGCCCAGACCTGCTGAACTATAAATCCCAAGGGGAGGGTACCTAAGGACCCATCCCCACCCCCACAGAGGACTCCAGGCCAGGGACCCGTGGGCAGTCACCGTCAGGGATCTTTCCCTGAGTGTGCACATTCCTTCCTGCCTACCCCACACAAGTTCTGCTGCTGTCTGGATCATCCCCAAATCGGTGAGCTCTGATGAAAAGTTACTGGGATGAGGACCTTAGGGAAGACGCACAGAAACGAAATGCCTGAGTTCGCAGGGGTTTCCTGTTTCCCCCTGATGTCAGTAATCTGACTTTTTCTCACTCACTCTCCTTCTGCGCAGGAGGAAAGGAAGGGAAGCCCGGTGTGCTTTGAAAGGTCTCTGAAAGGCCTCTGCCTCACACAAAGCCCGAGTCCCTGCAGAGCTCAGCCCTAGTCAAGGCCACCCCGCAGGGGCAGTGGGCGAGGCACAGACCCACCTTGTCCGGGTTCTCCAGGGAGTACACATAGAGCGGCAGGAAGAGCCTGTTCAGTAGGTGGTCTGTGAGCACATCGTTGAGGAACTCACAGTTGATGATCAGGATGTCATTGAGATAGTGCAGGTGGTCTAGGTGCTCAGCTACTAGGTCGCTCAGTTTCCCCCGATTCCGGTGCCTGCCAAGAGAAGTAACCACCTCAGGCGGGAGGCAAAGCTCAAGGGCTTTGAGACTAAAACCAGTGGCCTGAGACTTAACTCGCTGGGGGCACTCCCTTCACACGGTGGCATCTGAACGCCCATCCTGCCAAGGGAGCTACACAAAGGCAAAGTAAACGGGTTACTTCGACCCATACTAGGGATTCCTGGGATCCTTCTCCCGCTGAGGGCCTTGCTGCAAGTCCCCCCACGATCACAGCCCTGAACAAAGGGGATAAACAAAGGAAAACACAGCTAAGCTCTTGTAGTGAGCCACTGAACAAAAGTAGCTGCTGGCCAATGTGCCAAGATCCCCTGGATCCCCAGGCTCCCAGATGAGCAATATTAATGGAACCATAAATCCTCATCAATTAAGATGCTCCACCAAGCTAAGAAGACAAAGGCAGGCTTTACACAGCAGCCACGTCTGTCCACCCCATGGCCCTGACCACATGTGGGACATGAGCAAGGACACATACTGCTGGTCTCCTGGGTGGAGCCAGTCTCACACCTCAAAGGGACAGCATCAAAAGGACTGGGGACACACTTTTACTATCCCCCAAGCAGCAGCCACGGCAAACTGCATCTAGGCAGAGTCTGCACTATTGTTTAGCATGTTGGCATTATTATTTGTGGTCATTTCAGAAGACAGAAGATTTTAAAAGAAAATGAAAGTAATCAGAAAACTGAAGTTCTTATCATGCTACCAGTAACAGATACCTGCCATTAACGTTTTGGGACATAGGACCCTACAATCTGATTGTGCATGTTCTCTCTCCCTATAGCCAGCCCTAAAATGGAGGCATTATATGTCCATCTAATTTTATGTGCTTCACAAAGGTAGTAAAATGGAGAATCCATTGTTTCTTTACATAAGTTAGGTAAGTATCCTTTACTATGTTTTAATAACATACTTAGTAAACATTCATTGTAAGTGTATGTTGCAAAGCTTAAAAGTGTAACACCTAGGAATCCACCACCCTAACCCCAAATACTCATTCACAATGTTTCATACTTTTTCTCCACTTCATAAGATACTGCTCTCTCCCTCTCCACCTCTCTTTCGCTCTCTCTATCTCTCTTTCTCTCTCCTCCTGGGGAATTGAAGCCACCACTGAGCGCCATCCCCAATCCTTTTAATTTCTTATTTCAGACAAAGTCTCACTAAGTTGCTCAGGCTGGGCTTGAACTTGTGATCCTTTTGCCTCACCCTCCAAGTAGCCTGGATTAAAGCACATGCCACCATGCCAGGCTGGAAATTTTTCTTTAGTAAGCCATTTAACAAATCTTGCTGTTTAATATTTTAGCTTAAAAAAGATTTTATCAAAATAGTGTATGCAGATAGACTTAGAATCCAAATAGTATTGATCAGTTGACAGAGAAAAATAGAAACTCCTGTCCTAGCTTCCTCCGTCCAGAGAAGGCAGTGTTGAACTCTCGGTTGTTTCTGCAGAGAGTTGCTCTCATACTTCTATAAAAGCTATGTAGACTTCTATTTGTGACAGGGCCTTTTCAGATGGTATCTGCTGGCCTCCCACTAGACAGAGCTCTTTATGTTCCCTCCCTCTCTTCCCCTGAAAGGCGTTACCAATAACGGGTGTTGACATTATCATGACTGTTCACTGAAGACCCCAACAGAGGACTGTGAGTTTGTTTCCTTCCCTTTGTTCTTTCTGGAAGAAAGTGCCTCATTATGTCTCACATCCATGACTGTTCACACAGGTTCTTATTTTACCAAATGCTCGGTCATATCTGCCATCTACCTGCCTTGCGGTTTCCCTTCCAGTATCAGAGCTAATATTCTACCTGTCAGGTGCCCTCTCCCAGGAGAACGCCTTCCTGGGTCCCTTCAGCGTCTTGGCCTATCTAGGTGTCCCCCTCCTCAGACCTGGGCAAAGCTGTCACTGCAGGGCAGTGATTTTGGCCTTAAAGGGATAGATCTGGGGACATTTTTGTTTAGCGTGACCGAGGAAGAGAAGCTTTTGGCATGTGGTGGGTGGAGGCCACCGAGTGGGTGCTGGCAGACATCTTACAGGGTGCAGGGCGTCCCCTCAGCACCAGAGTCGCTATTCAAAAAGTCAGCAGTGCCAAGCAAGAGAAATTCTTCTGTGGAAGTCCTGTTTCACCATTCTGAGGACAAAACCACCGCCTTAAATTATTTTAAAAACTAATTTATTGAAATATGACTCACATACCATAAAATTCATCCACTTAAAAATATACAACTTACTACATAAGGAATTCCAGGCCAGCCTGAACTACATAGCAAGACCTTGAGTCCAAAAAAGAAATGTATATACGCAACTCAATGGTTTTTAAATTTAGTTCATTCATTTACTAATTTTTTTCAGTGTTGGGAGTTGATCCCAAAGCCTATGGATAACAGGCAAGTGCTCCGACACGGACCTGCACTCCCAGACTCGGTGGTCTTTAGTATTTCAAAATGGTCCAATCATCGCCATCCTCAATTTGAGAATATTTCTTCCCCCGCTGCGAAAAGTCTTCTATTCGTTAGGGATGGCTTTCCATTTCTCCCTGCACCTCTTCCTGCCATCCCCCAGGCCTGGGAAACCACTCATCTGCTCTTTGTCTCTAGATTTTCCTATTCCGGGCAGTTCATGTAAATGAAATCACAGGATATACGCTGCTTGGTGTCTGCTTCCTTTGCTGAGCACAACGTCTCCAAGGTTCATCCCTGTCATAACTTGTGTGAGGACTTTATTCTCTTTTATTGCAGAATACTATTCCTTTGTTTGGACAGACCACATTTGCATGACTACTCTTCTAACCAGCTGCCTAGCAAGCCTATCTATGAGTGCACTGAATTTATTTTTCCTTTTCCCCTCCTGAAGGTGCGGGAGTTGTTCCAAACAGGTAGAGAGAACCTTGGGCAACGCAGAAGTCCACACTCTGTGTACACGTGGGTGGCTCAGTTTTGTCTCATCTTTATTTTCCACAATGGAAACTGAGTGCTCCCCTAACCACTGAGGCTACCCACCCTGGGGCTTCACTTACTCCTCATCGGTCTGCACACAGGTGTCAAGTTCAATCACGTGGCTCCCAATGAACCAGACCAAATTGGAGAAGTAAGGGACGGCAGTTTTATCTCTGATATAGTGCAGCATGGCCTGGTTGTCCACTGAGAAAATTCACAAAAGAAAAAAAAAAATGTCAGGCTACCAAAAATAACTTGGGGGAGACAAACCCAAAAACCACAATGAAAAAGCCCTTTGCCATAATGTGAAATTATGTCTTTCCTGGAAATACTTGAAAATGTTTATCTTATTCATAAAACCATACTTGTGATAGCAGTTCTTAGGCTACTCTTAAATTAATAAAATAAATAAGTGGGACGGAACAGTTTTAGTGCATTACAGTGTACTTATCAGCATGGATTTAGCTAAACTGCTATGAGAAGTACACCATTCTTAAGCTTCCTGTATTTACATGTAGGGATAAGATAAGAAAGTGGAAAACCCGAGGTTAATAACTTACATGACACTGGAATAAGGAACAGGAATCGTCATTGAAGGAAAGGCAAAAAACAGACAACAGTGAACAGGTTAGGAACTGGGAAGGTGAGACAGCTGCCTAGAGAGACAGATAGCGGGGGCAGGAGGCATCTAAACCAAAAGATACGCATTAGCAGAGAGCAGAAGGCAAGGGACCCAAACATGGCTTGGACTAGGGCCGCAAACTTAGGAGCTGCCAGGGTGGTGCTTCTCAGTACCCTGCAGGACCGTGGGCCCAGAATGACCAAATGTACATTTTCAAGTCAGAAAACATAGAGTCATGCAAGATCTCCCCATTTAAAAATACTGATAACGTATATTTTTGCAAAAAAAACATCTGAGCCAATTAAAACATGTCTAAGGGTGGGATTTAGCCTGCAGGCCCTCCGTTTGCGATCTCTGGATGGGCCCACCTGGGCTTCTAAAAAGGCTCTTAAGTTTAATGTAGATCCAGAACTAGGTTTGCATGAGTCCTCACAGAGCCTCCTATGCCCCCAGTGAGGGGTCCCCTCACGGAGTAACATCCTGGTCCATGAAGTCCTCTGTAATCCCTAAGAAAATGGAGACCGGCTCCACCGTGGTGTCCACAGGGAATTAACGAGGGCATTAGGCAGAAAACTTCCAAGGCAGTGCCTCGAAGGGGCAATCCCAGCTCTGGAGACTTGGGGACAGCCAGTTGTTGGAAAGGCTTTCTCTCAGAGGCTATGTTTGGAGCATTAACTACATCTTGAAAGAAAGGAGGAATTTGTTCCTGTTGGGCTTTGCACCCAGATGGAAATGCAACATTGCCCCCTGCTGTTCATGATGTGAAATGCTTTTATTCATGAATCCAGCTGTACTGAAGGATATTTTATAAGCCCAAACACAAAAAATTTAATAGACAACTTTGCTTTACCTGACTTATTTCTCTGAATTCCACGTGTTCCTTAGGATACCCTACTTCTGAGCAAGAAAGAAACATGCAGGGAGAAGGCAGTGGTACAGATATACATCAGAGAAAAGTTAAGCACAAGCCTTTCATGTGGTGCGGCCCCAGCTTATACTAATTGGGCTCCCCCAGTACTCTGAGAGAAATGGAGGCTGGGCACATGCTACTGAATCTGAAATCAACCCAGGCATAAGCTCATAAGGAAACTTACCTTTATAGACATTCAAAGTTATGGTTCTTACAGCAATCCGAACCATGCTTTCAGGGTGATTGAAAAATTTGATGGCTTCTGTGTATAGGGCAAAGTCATTGGTGTGCTAAAACAAAAGAAGTACCAGAAAGTCAGACCCATAAGACAACTTACCCCCGCCCTAGCTTTCAGAAACCCTTCCGGATGAAAACTACATAAAGAAATGACAGAAAAGAAAAATACGGTAAAGTACAAAAGAAAGAGTTGCCACCATGAGCCTCAATCCAGTGGCTCATTCCCAATGGGGAATGTGGGAAGGAACGGGATGCAAGGCCACAGAAGAAACAGAAAAGGTTCGAGTAACATCAGACTTGGGTTCACTGCCTGTCCTACCGCCCCTTAGCTGTGTGAGGCAGTATTTCTAAGCCTCTGTTTCTTCATCTATAAAATGGGGACAACAGCGCCCAATTCATAGTTGCTGGAATTAAATGAGACCATTTCCAGCCCAGTGCTTAACTCAGCACCTGACACCTAATATGTACCCAGTGTTAATGCTGGTTATTGTTAGACGTTGCTGCAAGTAACTGAAGGACGTAGCTTGTACTAAGTTTGGAGTGTCTATTAGCCACTATATTTTTCTCTATTTGGAAATACTAAAATAATAAATATTACGGAAAAAAGAGGTTCCCAGGAGTCCTCTACTATTGAAAAGAGACAGCGCAGTAATAGGATGCCCACTTAGCATGCCCAAGGCCCTGGGTTCCATTCCCTGCACTAGGAAAAAAGTGCACACATGCGCTTGTGTGTATGTGTGTGTAGAAATCAAACATCAAAACCACAGAAACCCACTGTCCCAGGTAAGAGAGCACATAGGAATGTGGACAGAAGCCACATAGAGATGTGCTCTGCTGCCCCCTGGTGGCCCCCACAACAGCCCAGGAGGGAACCCCAGCAGCCAGGGTTGGCCGGGAGGAAGTTGAGGCTCAAAGTAACAAATACCCAATAAGGACAACGTACCTACTACTGCATGCCAGGCAAAGGGTCTCATGGTACTAACTTTTCAAATGGCATGTTTTGTTGTACACAGCTAGTATTTCCTCCCTTGGAGACTAGCTCTTCTCCACCACTAAACAACAAAAGTCAAGGTTCGGGCTGCTGATGCCACATCGTATGGGGGCAGCTGAACAGATTGGTCCCAAACTTAGAAAATATATTTGGCACCACGGTTAGACAGAGGCACTGAGTGTCATGACCACCAATCAGAAGACACCCACCACACCGACAGCACGGGACTCTGGGAGCCCAACCCTAAGCTCGGCCCTAAAGAGCCCCACCTCCAGTGTTCATGTTCTCCCGTCACCTCTCCACGCGGAGTCAGGGCTAGCCCTGGAAGAGGAATGCGGTGGAAGTGAGCGTGTGTGACACCTGACACTGGGCCATAAAAGGCATTAGTTTGCCTTCTCTCTTTGATCACTCACCCAGAGAAGCCAGCTCCACTAGTTGAGGGAGAGGCCCACACAACAGGGAACCAAGGCCTCCCACCGACAGCCACAGCCAACTGGCCACCGAGTGAGTGAGCCACCTTGGATGCACTCTCCCTCCCTGTCCAGCCTTCCGGGAGACTGCCAGGCTGATCCCCAGCTCCAGACACACTGGGGGAGAAATTCTGACCTGTGAGATGGGAGAGGAAGTCTGGTGGGAGAGTTCTGAGAAAGGTTTTTAGAAGTCAAAAAGGGACACGAGAGGGGAAGTGAAGTCATCAGAAATTTCAGCAGTAGCATTTGCGTATGGGATGTTCGGAGCGGCTGCAGCCATCCTGTGACCCGAAGGGTTGAACCTGAGAACAGATGCCAACTGCACAGTCAAGAGCACAGGAAGATGGAAAAGCCAGGGTCCTTGAAGAAGTGGGTGAGCCATCGGATGAGATAGTCACAGCACAGCTGGCATTTGTGTGAAAAGGGACCTTCTTGTTCAAGCTCCTTGTGACTGTGACCACGGCAGCAATTTTGGTTGTCAGTAATTCTCCCAAGGAACATTAGTTTGTAAAGAACAGCAATGTCTACAATTTTAGGGGGCCAGACACATACTGTATGCTTTGAAGATATTTAATCCAGCCCTGAAAACTCTACCGATTTCTCAGATGAGGAAACGGAGGCTCTAAGAGGGACTGGAAGTTCCCTGAGGTCACACAGCAAGGAAGTGGCAAAGCAAGCCTGCTTGGAGTTCCTGTTTTTCCTGCAGGGCATCGCCATCCCAAGATAACAAGAGGCTGCTCACTGCTAAGCATGATATTCTCAGCACAAACTGATTTTTTTTTTTTTTTTTGGTACCGGGGATCGAACTTCAGACCTTGTGCTTACGAGGCAGGTGTGAGCTAAATCGTGGCCCCACAAATGGAATTGATATTAAAAACAGAACAGTAATTTTTTGAATCAATTTGTAAAAGCATGCCCAAATCAAACAGTGCTGCTGGAAGAATCGTGACAGAAAGCACCTGAGTGCTTCATCAGCAGATGTGTGACTGCAGAGCTCCAAAGCACTGCCCTGACAGGGTTAGTGGTACACCCAGAGGTGTTCTCCGGCGATCGCTTACTTACCTCGTTGTAAAAGAAATGGACGGTGTGGTTGTTGAGCTTTAACGAAAGTGTTTTCAGGAATGATATATAATATGCCATAATCTCCTCATCAGAGAAGTCAAATTTATGGACAATAATAGAATTTACATAGTTATTAGACAGCAGATAATCTAGAGGGAGAGAAGAAAAAAAAAGGTTAACTCATGCTAGAGGAAAGAAAACAAAGGATGTTGGGTAACCAGCAGGTAACCATGAAAAGGATCTGCTGAGCTTCTACACTGCTGGGATTAAACAATTTACTTTCACTTTTAACTGGCAAATAAATCATCTACTACGCGTGGTCACCAGAACATTTAAAGGCAGCTGCAGAGGACAGCCTTCCCTCCCACCGCATGGACACCAAAGGAGCCGATACAGGCACTGTCTTTTTACTGCTGGCATAACTCACATGGAGCAGGGAGGGGAAGGTTAGGTAGTATGCGAGCATTTTCACAAACCATAAATGAGGGTAAAAGGCACCGTGTTCTATAAAAAATTGCCCCATTTTGCCAAACAAACTCACATCACTGTCCCTGAATGCCACAAGAGCTACACATCTTTTTTCCTTCTTACGCAACAACTTCATCTCATAAGGGTCATGTTATGCTGAATCCCCATAAATGCCAAACACCAGGCTAAATGATTCCCATCGCAGTCCACGACGACTCTGCAGAGCAGCCTTCATTCTTTCCACATCACAGATGAGGAAAACAAAGCTTAGAGACGGTGATTAACTGGCCTGAGGACTCAGCCCCTAAGTCACAGGGAAAGGGCTCGAATTCAACTCTGAAAACAGGCTGGGTTTGCTGTGCACTAACGTGGGCAATGAAGACTGGCACTGAGGGCACTGGGGCTACCTGGAGCGCAGCCCACCTTCCCACACTGCCCGTAGGCCCCCCGATCCCTGTGGCAACACCTCCAACTGAGGAAAGGAAGCCGGAAAGAACAGACTGTAAGGCCGAAGTTCCTGATCTTAAAATGTTGGCTACGGCATCCACTAGGTTTAAAAGCTGTGGCAACCAGCACAAACAGGTCTAAGCCCAGCTGCAGCCTGTGGCCTGAGGTCTGAAATCTCTGTGCTGGCCCTTGCTGGACACGTGCCGCTGTGTTCTCACCAGCCACTGCAAAGCAGGTGCTGCTGTCCCCACTGTCTGTCCTTCGGGCTGCTAGTGGGTGAGCACTGCTCCAGCTCCCCTGCCTGCCCAGAGATGGTCAAGAGCAGAATACTGACAGGTGAGGCAGGAGAGAGGATTCACCCAAACACCACCAAGAACTATTCGGGAGCGTGGGACCACGCCAGGAGTCACAGCTCAGGGTCCTGCTCAGAAGCCAGTTCTCTCGGAAGGTCATTGCACATTTCTGAGCAGGCTTGGCAAGCAGGCCATGCAAACTGGTCTCAGGATCAGCTTCCAAAGTCTCCTGATCATAACAGTTCCTGAGGCAGCTCCCAGGGCCTGCTCCAAAGACGTCAGAGGTCTGGGGTGAAGACCTGGGAATCTTAATGTTTCTAAAAATGAGGCTACATGTGTCACAAATGCTACGGACACAGCTTGATATAAATGTGTATGTACCTTAAATTTGTGGACATGTGTATTAATATATCATAAGATTTAGGTGTCCAGCTTGCATTTTACATACCTGCACACCAATACACACACACACACACCCGGCTCCCTCACACCTCTCCTTGCCAGAATGTCCTCCCCCAAAGCAGGCCCCACTCTGACTCCTACCTCCACAGACAGGCTGTGCCTATTCTTGAATCCCCTGCTATAAATGGAGTTAGCCGTTGGGCACTCTGCCTGGGTCTGGCCCCTTTGCTCATCACATCTGAGAGTTACCCACGTCACTGTTCATTCCCTGCCTCCTTTCTTTTGCTACATGGTGTCCCATTCTTCGAACAGTCCACAGATCTGTCCACCTCAAATCTAACATGGAACATGCAACCCAGGGGATCCTGATCCCTGGAACCCTTTGTTTTATTGTGTCATTCTGGCTGTGGGTAGAAACTACAGAGGGGAGAGTGAGTGACAGAAGAAGGGAATGTCTGGATGTTTCGTGAGCCCTGTAGTGACTGGTTAGTGGCTCCTGGACCACGAGCAGCACAGACACCTAAGCTAGCAGCTGAGGATGCACAACTGAGGGGCTCCTGGCTGCATTCTGGACCTGAACAGCCAGACTTCGTCCGCTTCCCAGGGGGACTTTTCGAGGGCCCTCAAGAGATGACTCCATGGGTGAGAGGTGACCCCCATGAGGGCAGTGGAAGGGCCTCTATTACTTGGCTGGGATTTTTCTACTACCCCCTCACTATGCGGCTGATTTTCTGCGGTGTCCTCTATAATAATCCCAGGAGTCTATAAGTAATCTCAGTTTCTCAGGCCTCTGTCATTTACGTTACCAAACCCAACAGGCAAGAGACGCATGTATGAAATAGCTGCTGGCAATAGTGAAAAATTGGAAACCACCTAAATGCCCACTGTAGGCTGAACAGATTACAGCACAGCAAGATGCAGTTCTTCAACCAAGACAGGGAGGGTTGCAGTGGAAAGATCTGAGACATACTGGTGAGGTGGGAAAGAGTAAAGCCAAAAGCACAATGGATGATACAGACTGAACCATTCCAGTGAGATGCTACAGAAACGTAGTTGTCTGTATTTTTATATGTTTGGTGTTTTGCTGTTTCACAATGAAGAAAACTTCTACGTTTAGAAAATAAAACCAAGGTCACCTCTCCTCATCCCTTGCAAAATAAAAGTTTTATAAACAGGCCATGATTTCTGCTGCTTTTGCGAGGCTTCTGACAGCACTCCAGTGAGCTGTGCATAAAGTGAGGGCCATCTGCCTGGGTTTCTCACAGCAAGGTACCAGTTTGGTCCCAGTACAAGAAAAGCCATGCATACTGCACGCCCTCACTTACGTGTGGAATCTAAAATAGTCAAGCTCAGAGAAGCAGAGGGCAGAGAGGTGGTCAGCAGGGTTGAGGTGCAGGGAAAAGGGGGAGATGTTGGTCAAAGCATAGAAAGTTTCAGTCGTGCAAGATGGCTGAATTCTGGAGATCTAAGGGACAGAGAGATAGCACGGTGACTATAGTTAACAAGACTGTACTATATACTTGAAATTTGCCAGAAGGGTGTTCTCACCACACACCAAAAGGTAACCATGTGAGGTGATATGTTAATTAGCTTGACTGTGGTCGTTATTTCAATATGCATGTAAATCAAATCAAGCTATATACCTTCATGTATACAATAAAAAGCCAGAATTTATAAAGTCCCCATCTGTGATCCTGTACTCCTGTGCCTAGCTGGGCTTGGAAAGGGTTACCAGGGAGAAGTCTGGAAGGACTGCTTCACTAAGTGATGTGATCAGTGTTACAGCCGCTTCTCGCCGCCTGGTGCCTGTGCTAAGCTCACACTTGCTCCTCAACCCACCCTCTCTGCCAGCTGCTGTTATCTCCGCTGGCCAAAGGAGGATCCGCAGCTGGAGAGTTAGCACCCACGCACATGCAGGCAGCAAGCAGCTGAATCGGCCCCAGCCTTGGTTTGGGCAGAGTGCTAGGCCTGCGACACTGAGATGGATCTTCCCTTTTCGGAGTTCAGAAATTGCACTTGTTTCACATCCAGGAAAATAGAAGCTGCTAACAGGAAACCACGCAGGGAGACATAAGTCAACCCACATTTGTGCGCTCGCGGTTGTCTCTAATGTGAGAAACGTCTCTGGGGCAGCAGCACCACCTAGTGGCTGCTGCTGAGAAGTGCCATACTGCTCTCGCCCTGGAGAAAGGCTTCCACTTCAGCTCCTTCCGCCCACGGAACATCTTTTCTCAAAAATGTCCCAGGGACCAAGAGCCTTCCTCTTATAGACACTAAGACACTTTTTTTTTTCTCTCTTTCCCACTTCTTGTAGGCAGGACATGGGCTGTGCTGCCACCTTGGAATAATGAAACTACCAATCAAGCATGGAGGATTGGGAACTAAGCCAGGGCCACTGGGCCTCAGCACTGGAACAGTTTGGGCTGGGGAGTTCTCTGCCGTGCGGTTGTCCTGGGCACTGCGGGACGTCTGCACATCCTCGGCCTCTGCCCATGAGATGCCAGAGCAGCCCCTCTGCAACTGCACTGTGACTCCCAAAATATCTCCAGACACTGCCAGTGCCCCTAACAGACACAAACAGCCCACTGAGGACCGCTGAGCCCATTCACCCGGATGAAACCCCTTCTCTACTCTGGCTTTGCTGGAGCTGTCACCTTGGGCCCACGATCAAACTCTCTTGGTATTAAAATTAAGACGCCAACAGCCCTGCCTCCCAGGGTGCTTGTGACAGGTGACAAAAAGGCCTAGTGAGAGCAGATGATGTGCTCAGGGCCCCACGCTAACTACCTGGGCCGCAGAGCGGAAGCCGGAGGGTCAGGGTCCACAGCACACGAACCTGCAGACCCTGTGGCCGGGTCTTCCTCACCCCGCCTCCTCCAATACTGAATCTATGGGCTGATTACTCAGAAACCAACTCCTTAATAACAAGTCACAGAGGGAGAATGCAAACACTCCCAGAATTGTCCAGCACAGGGGACCCCTCTCGGCCCTTCACAGTATCCCACCATGCAGGAGGACAGTGCTATAGACGGAACTGCACCCCCAACAAATGCAGACATTGAAGTCCAAACCCTCAACGTGACTGCATTTGGAAATAGGGCCTTTAGGGGGGTAATTAAGGCTAAATGAGGTCATTAAAGGCCAGGACCTATAGTACTCTAATGGAACTGGTGTCCCTATGAGAGGAGGAAGGGACACCAGGACTGTCTCCCTCCTTCCCTCCTTCTCTTTGTCACACACACACACACACACACACACACACACACACACACACACACACACACACAGAGGGGAAAGACCATGTACAATGAAAAAGGGACCGGTACGGTCTGAACGTGTCCCTCAAAGATTCATGCTAAAATCACAGAGTTGGAAGAAGGGGCCCAGCAGGATAGGAGGTGCTTATGTCATGGAGGTGGAGCCCTCATGAACAGAGTAATCAATGCCTTTCTTGCATGAGTTTTTGCTCCCATGAACTGGATTAGCTACCTTGAGAGAAGATTATTCTAAAGTTAGTGCTCTCCCTCTTTTGCACATGCCCTCTCATCCTTGACCTTTCTTCCATGAATCAAAGCAGCATGAGGCCCTCATCTGCCCAGTCTTAGATTTCTCAGCCTCCAGAACCACGTGCCAAAATAAACCTTTTTTCATTTACAAAATACTCAGACTCGGTTATTTGTTATAGCAACAAAAAACAGACTAAGCTGTTGGCTGTCTTCGAGCCGGGAAGAGTCATCACCAACATCCAATGCTGATGACAGCTGCAACCTGTACTTTCATCCTCCAGAACTCTGGGAGAACAAACACCTACTGTTTAAGCCACTCAGAGTGCAGTGCTCTGTTAGGGCAGCCCAAGCAGACTAGCGTGGGAGGCAAGCAGAGACACACAAAAGCCCTGCCAAACTACACCATGCCACTGCCCCACAGTCCATGGCAAGGGTCGGGGACGTCCTTACAGAGCGAGGTCTCGTGACTGATATTCTCAAAGAGGATGTTCAAGGTCTGCAACAGCTGAACGCACACGTAGCGGCCTGATTTCTGCCGCAGGATGTTCAAGAAGAAGACAAACATGTTCTTCTCCAGGAAGAAGCTGGGGAGAGAATGGGACAGAGTCAGTGGTTTGCTGTGACACAGGAAATTAAAATCATCCTCTGGTTACACTCGCAGCACATGTGTTAGCCCTGTCCCCGCGAGAGCATCAGCAGGGACACCAGATCACACCACCCGCAGGGCCTTGCTTCCCATACATCTGATTCCCACGATGCCATCTTCCATCAAGGCCAACAGGTGACCTTTCACCTCTCTTCCCAGAACGTACAAACAGTGCTGATTCCAGGAAACAGAGAACTAGATTACTGACAGAGTGGGAACGATCTTTACTAAGCGAGTCCCACTGTCATCTACGCTTCTAACCCTACCGAGCAGCATTTCCCATCACACTCCATATCCTCTGTTCACCTTACCAAGCCTCTTCCCTTTACTCTCCCTATCTTTGAGTGTTAAGAAAAACACAGTGGGGATTCCCTAAAGAAAATAATGCCCAATAAGAAAACAGCTTTGGTTTCCAAGTTGTCAAGTTTCCGTATATGGGGAAAAGAACAAAAAAGATCATCAAAGGTGCTGATGATTTGGAGGGGCCCTAAGCTGTCCCCGTGTCTGTTTCTGCCTGTCTCGGTCTGGACAGGACACTTCTCTGAATTCAGCCCAGGGAACTGGCTTTTGAGGATATATGTTGGAATCAGAACCCCATGATGCCTTTCTTTAATAAAATGACATTTCTGGGCCGGGGATTTAGCTCAGTGGTTCCACCGCCTGCCTCACAAGCGAAAGGACCCAAGTTTGCTCCCTGGTACCAAAAAATAAGATAAAATAAAATGACATTACTGGTTGTGTCCTGTGTATTCAGGCTAAGTCATGTGGCACAGTCACCACAATCCCTGCAGTCACACATCTGCCGGCTGATTAGTTTGGGGTGTATCTCTCCCCGCTTGACCACACCCTCCCAGTGGTGTGATCAGGGGCCTGGCATTTGCTCAGCGCTGTCTAATTTCTATTTGAATGCATGAAAGGTAAACTAATGGATACATATGACCTAAAACAAAACAAAACACTAAAAACAAAAACAACTGAAAAAAAAAAAAAACAACACACAACTAAAATCTTTTCTAACACTGCTTCTGGAAGCCTGTCTGCTGTAAATGCCATTCACGTTGACCTCCCGGGTGTTTCTGTCGTTAGATTGTGTAACTCAGTGACTCCCGAGTTTACCAGCACTCTCACTGCCACAGTGACCAACATGATGACTTGTTAAAGTGTGTGCACCTAGACCTTGCCCCTGAAATTCCCAGACTAAACTTCTGGAAATTTTCCAAGGGTCTCCTTGGAAAAATGGCTGATTTTAAGGCTGAGGCAGGAAAAATATAAGATGAGCCTATAGTATTTTATAGGACCAGAGGCAAGAAAGTGTTTTAAAAAAACTAAAATTTGAGAGTATTTCAGAGGGACACAGGAACCGATCTGAAACAGGCGCCAATGGCCAAAGCTGGGACAGTGTGAGTAAAAAGTATTGGATTTTAACGTGGGGTATAATACAGATATCCACAGGTCTATATCGATATAAACAATGAATGAACCAACAGAGAAACAGCTTCCATGCAGATGCATTTTAATAATATATAACACTTCTAAAAGGCAGAGCTTCCCACTCCCTCATCCTGGAAGGTGGGCTACACTTTTCTTCTAAAGAAAAGCACAAGGGAAGGGGAAATAGTAACTTTTCAGGAGAGGACGCAGCAGGCACCACCTCTGCCGGGCAGTGGTGGCAACGGGACTGAGATGTCCTGTTCTCACCATGGGTGCCCTGCTAGGACAGGCGAGAGGGGCACTACACTTCTCCTTCCCACAAACCTCAGTCCAGTCATGAGGAGGACACCAGGCAAACTCAGATGGGAAAGTATTCTGTGGACGATCAAAACGATCAGGATCATAAAAGACAAGGGAAGACTAAGAAATCTCATAGGTCCGAGGGAGCCGTGACCACTAACTGCACCTTGGAAGCCTGGATAGAATCCTGGAGCATCACGAAAAGAATGCAAAAGCTGGAAAAATCCAAACCGAGTCCGACACTGTCTTAATAGTAACACGTCAATGTCAGTTCCTTAGTTGTGCAAAGGCTCCCTAATGCTATGTAATAATGGGGGAAGCAAAGTAGGGGGCATATAGGAACTTTCTGTACTATCTTTTTTTTGAGACAGGGTCTCACTGTGTAGTTGAGACTGACCTGGAACCCACTATATAGCCCAGGCTGATCTCGAACTCACAGTGATCCTCCTGCCTCAGCCTCCTGCGGGCTGGGATTGCAGGTGTGCACCACCATGCCCAGCTCTCTGTGCTATCTTAACAACTTTTTTGGAAATCAAAAATTACCCCTGAGTCGGGGATTTATCTCAGTGGTTTCACGCCTGCCACACAAAGGCAAGGTCCTGAGTTCGATGCATGGTACTGGGCAGGGGAAGGGGAAAGGATTACCCCAAAACTTCGAAATGTATTAAAAACAGAAATTTTTTTCTTTTTTCTTTTTTTTTTTTTTTTGACAGGGTCTTGCTATGTAGTTCAGCCTGGCCTTGAACACACTAATTATGTAACCTAGGCTGGCCTCAAACTTGTGGCAATCCTCCTGGGTAAGACCCTGTCAAAAAAAAAAAAAAAAAATTTTTTTCTTGACTCTTTTTTTCTTGTGGATTCTGCAGGGCAGCAATTTAGGGAATCAATGGACTCTAAGAGCTCAGAAGCTTTTCTAAAATGATGGACTAAAAAGGCTCATTCTAGAAAGCAGGGGGACACCATTTCTAACCTTTAAAAGGCAAATCTTTTAACAAGCTTGCAATTTCAGGAGTATATGTTTTCTATAAAGAAGCTCTATTAGATAACCTTATAAAAATGGGTTTTTACAAATGGCCTCAAAATTTATAATTTTGAGAAACACACACACACACACACACACACACACACACACACACACACACAATCTGTGTTTGGTGGTTGTTATAACCCAATGATGGCGAACCTTTTAGACACTGAGTGCCCAAATTGTAACCCAAAACACACTTATTTACCGCCAAGTGCCAACCCTGCAACTAAACCTGAATACTGAGGTTTTAGTTTAGAAAAAAAAACTCATACCTTAACATCTTCTGTCTTAAAAGAAAAACACAGGAACATATGTGCCATAGGTTTGCCACCACTGTTATAACCCAGTCCCATATCCTCCTTCACTAAGAAAAGGACGCAGGATGGGGCCAGGGATTTAGCTCAGCGGTTCGATGGCCTGCCTTGCAAGCGCAAGGACCCAAGTTCAATCCCCAGTACAAAAAAAAAGAAAGAAGCAGGTGTACGGGGAGGCAGTTCACAGTTTACAGACTTTGTGGTGTAGCCACTTAGTAGGTACTTCGATTTTCATCATTTGCTATCATCTAAGAGTGCCTTCTCTGGATCTAACATCAAACCTGGACCTTTTGCTCCCTCCTTTAAAGATGAGAAAACTGAGGCTCAAGGAGACAAAGAGCTAAGCCCAAGACCGCTCATCTATGAAGTACAGGGAGAGGCTGGACAAGGAGAAACCCTATTACGGGCTCTGAGTATGAGCTGCTTGCTCTTTTACCACCTACCAACCATGAGCAAAAGTGGGGATGCCACGGGGCCTCTGTCTGGATGGGTGGGAGACTCCCTTCTCTTTCTCCTCAAGGCTCAGCACTGTGCCTGGCCCTCAGTCTACAAACTGTCAGCCCTCAGTGACTCCCCCAGGGCAAGGTCCTTCCTGTTCACTTAGAATCTAAACTACTCAGGATATTTTCTCCTTCCTTTGAGGCCACAGCTTAGAATATTATCCATGACATTTTCAGGATGTCCAGAGAGACTCATTTCCACAACTTCCCCACTTTTGGCTTTCATTTCCACAGTATTTCAAGGACATTTAATGTAGACAGATATTTGGGCAAGACAAAGTTTGTGTCAAGTCCTGACATCATCTGGAATGACTCATGGTATACACTTGGAAAAACACTCAAAGGAAGAGGAAGAATCAAAAAACAAAAAGCACTGGAAACCCTTACTCAAATACAGAGCTATCATTTTGATCTCCCCAAATCAGGATCTCGGTGATGGAACGAATGGTCTCTACCAGCAGGTTTCGGTTCTGTTCTGTGACTGTGGTGTTTTTGGTCAAAACGTGGTACAGATACCTGAGGAAAAGGAAAGAAAACACAAGGTTACCAACCAACAGGAACGCCAGGTTCAGGTCAAATGAACCATTAATAGTATTTCGGAGGAGACAAAGTCATGCTCCTTCAGATTCAGTCAGCACAATTTCCCATTCAGGTTAGACTTGATTCATCACCCAAGAAAAATGGCAGGCAATATTCAACACATTAAATATTAAAGACACATCAACCCAACCCGAGGCAAGAGCATCAGTAAGCTTTTGGAGACAGCCATTCTCAAATGTAAATGTGCAAGAGAATCGCCTGGACTGCTTAATAAAGGGCAGCTGCTGGAGCACATTCAAAGAGCGAGACTCAGCAGACCAAAGGGGAGAGCATGCTTCTGCCTGTTTGACACGCTCCACCCCCAGCACTTCTGACGAGGGTGGAGGCACACAGGTCGGGCCAAATGCCCAACAGAGGACCTGCACGCAGACTGATGATGAGATTCAGGGAGAAGGAGTCAAGCGTAGGGAAGGTAGTTCCCAAAGCCAATGGCTGAGACAAAACTGATGTGCAACACAGACTACCTTTGGAAAGCTGTCTTGGTTAATTTTCTTGTTGCTGAGAAAAAAAATACCCAACCCCCAAAGTTAAAGGGGAAAGGTTTATTTAGCTCAGTTTGTAGAGGTTTCATTCCATAATTGGCTGGGTCCAAGGCAGAGCAACACTGCAAACAAGCCTTGCAGAGGAGAAAACAGTTCATGGCAACCAGAAGGAAAGACCCTAAAAGTATCTTTCTGCCCCCTTTATCCAGACTACTGGGATTAGGGTGGTGCCAAACCAATCAGTAGAATAATTTAGTAATCACACACCCTTAATCCCAGCATCACACATTCCAAATTCAGCCACCTATGAAAATGCCCTATGACCACATGAGGCTTTGAGGGGAAATCTAGACACAAACTGTAACAAAAGCCATTTCCCCTAAAGTGCAGTATACCAACCAGAACATAAGGCTCAATTAAAGCAGGCAGTTGGCAGTCCGGAGCAGTGGTCTTATTTGCTGAGCACAGACTTCAGTTCACAGTTAAATGGGCTTGAGAGGGTATGGCACTGTTACCTCCATCATCCAAACAGGCCCGGGAGCCAGCCGCTAGAGTAGGCAGGAAGACGCTACCCAGTCCCTGAAGCCTCTAATGGTAGAGAGGGAAACCAAAAGAGCCAGCAAGGCTGATACTAAACATCACAGGAATCAGCAGCCTGCCCAATGCCAGGCAGTGCTGCCTAGCATGACTTTTAAGACAACGCCTCTAGTACCCACAGATCCAAGTAAATGTACCTGTCAAAGGAGCCTCAGGCTTGGGGAGGAAAGCAGACAAATGAGGAAATGACTCATGAAAAGCTACCACCTGATTTCTTTCATGGTTACCTCCAGGCTGGGGGTAAGGGCTAATGAAAGCAAGGGAAGGAAAAAATTGATACAATCCTCCCTTCTACAATCTCTAAAACTGGTAAGGTAGGAAGTAGAACCTGGCAGATGGAACAACTAGGCACAACTTGCTGCTGTCAGGGAGCTGGGGTTTATGTGCTGTTTGTTACATGTTAAACACATAGCACGAGGAAGCATTGAATTTGATTTTAAAATCACATGTGATTTTTAACATACAGTAAGTAGTATAGCTCTCCAAAAATATAAATCCTTAATTATTTATGCCTAAACCTACCAGCGGTGCCGCATGTGGAGGCACAAGGCCAGTGGTCCTCTGGGATAACAACTCCACAGCACTTGAACTACTCTGGGATGAACTGGGACCTACTCACAAATCTCTATGTCTCCATCTTGCCGCAAGAGGCTCAAAGAGCACATTTCCAAACTGATTCACAGACCTCCCGCACCAGATTCAGCTGTTTAAGTTATTCCCTCCCCCAGCCCCGCTGGATCAGGATCTTAGGTGCAGGGCCCAGTCCACTAAAGTTGTTTTGTTGGTCTTAGGGCCTCGTGCAGGTTAAGTATAGACTGTACCACTCAACTACATCGCCAGCCCCCACTAAAAAGTTTGACGGCCGCTTCACCACCCCGTGGTAGTTATGGGTGACACTCTCCGTGCAGTTTACAGGATGCCTGACACCTCATCTGTGGCAAGGCAGGGGAGGGGAGGGGCAGATTCTCCCCATCCTGGAATTTTCTTCTGGGTGGAAGATGGCATATAACCATTAGCATCACACATCACGCTCCTGGCTCAAAGGGAGCCAGGGACCTGTGTGACCGCATCTGCTCTGAAGGTCCCAACAAGTTCACAATCTTTAAGATCAGATCTGACTTCAACTGACTGGGCTTTCTGCCTCCGATGCCCTGGCTGCCCTCAACAAACAGCAAACTCTTACTCGTATTTCAAAGCTTGGCTCATGCATCACCAATGTCACTCTCTGCCCCCGAAGATTTGTCTGCTCCCCTCTCACTGGTACTTCTGTACCCATGTGCATTGCTACTGCACAGACCACCTCGAGTCACACTGATCTGTCTCCCTTACTAGGTAGGAGCTGCTTGAGGTTACTGATCTTGGTGACCCCAATGTACTCCAAAATATTTGGCAGACATTAGGTCCTCAATAAATAATGAGTGGGGCAGGGCACGATCTTCATGAATATAAGGTGGGTCACAGCCAGGGGTCCAAATGCAGATATACCAAATAAATAAGTAGAAATAAATTTTAAAAACAGCACAGAGCAGTGGTGAACAGTTCAGCATTTGGAGTCCCTTGCCCTGCCGGTTCCTAACTGTGGCCCCAGACAAGATTCTACACCTCAGCTCCCTGCAGCTTGGATTCTACAACACAGGGGTGACAGTCAAAGCCACTTCACTGCGTTGCTGCAGTGAGTCCAAATGATAATCCACAGAAAGGCCGAAGTTGGGTGCCTGGCGTGCGGTGAGCCCTCCACAGAAGCAGCACTAGTTGTTGTTATTATTAAATGGTGTTTATTATGATGGGGGCCATTAGGAACATCCTTGATAACTATACAAATACTATCCCAAGACCTTAGAAAGAAGAAAACAGCCTGGGACAAACAGGAAGAGACGCTCAAGGGAGATACTGTGACCGGAAGGTTGAGAGAAACCAGAGCAGGAAGTAAAAAGTCCAAGTTATTTCTGGAGGAATGGTAGAGTATCCGGGATAATTACAGACACTGGTTCGGGCATGCTCCAGGTTGAGCACATCTCCATCACTTATTAACTGGGTGATCCTGAGCAAGTTGTTCACTACTGTGCGCCTCAGTCCTCTCAACTGTACTTTAACACCTATCTGATATAGTGTTGTGAGCAATAAATACATGAATGGACAGGTAACAAATCTGGCAGTTACTTTGTGTATGTACTAGTAACTATTGTTGCTGCTTTCACTAAATAATCTCTGGGGGAAAAAATCCTAATCTACTGGGAGGTCTTTACACACACAAAAAGGGAAAGGGTGGCAAGTCCCAAAGGTTCTAAGAACTCCCCAAGCCTGGAGAGGAACAAGAGCATCACACGAGCCTCAGACTGTCGCCCACCGTTACCACGGCACAGGCCAAGACAGCACCGAGGCTTGGGGACGCTCTGCGGCTCACCTGTAGCTGGGGGCATGGTCTGAGGGTTCTACTGGACACAGTTTTTCCAGCACTTGGTGTTCCTTGCCTCTTTTCAGTGCAGCCAATCTGCTAGGTATATGACATCACACTGGGATTTTACTGCAGGAAGACCAATGCAGCTCAGTGCCTTTTCATATGTTTATGGACTATTTCAATGACCTCTTTTGGAAAGTGCCAATATAAGTCTTTTGCTTCTTATTTATTTAGTGGAGTTGTCATATATCTTTCTTTTTCTTTTTTGTTTTTACTCTTTTGCAGTGCTAAGGATCAACCCCAGTACCTTGCACATGCCACTGAGCCAGAGCCCCTAGTTCTATATTCAGAACATAAGTCCTATACTTGATAAATGCATTAAAACTATTTCCTGACTATGGCTTGCCTTTTCTCTCTTTATAATAGTCTTCTGACGAACAGGGATTCATCTTAATGTAGTCCAATTTATCAATATTTCTCTCAAGTAATGCTTTTTTGTATCATGCTTAAGAAATCTTAATCTACCCCAAGTCATAAAGAAATGCTATTTTCTTCTAACAAAGTTATTGTTTTACCTTTCACATCTTGCCTTAGAATACATCTGGAACTGATTTTGGCATATGCTACTGTATAAGGTATTAACCACAATTAATTCTTTCCTATATGAAGATCTAAGTGATCGTGCACCATTTACTGAAAGGCCCTAATTTTTCTACCGTAATTGTGTTACCTTTATCATTAATCAGGTGACTACATGTGGGAGTCTCTTTCTGGGTGCTCGAATTTCACTGATACTCCTTTTGTGCCAGTACCATGCTGTCCGGTTATTGCAGCTTTATAACAAATTCTGCTACGTGATAATGTATGGCCTCTAGCTTCTTTCCTTGTGCTTGTTTGATATCATGTTGGCCATCCAGATACACTTCATTTCTGTGTATATTTAGAAATCACCTCAATTTCCACAAAACTACCTGATAACATTACCTTTAACGTTGCCCCAAATCTATAGTTAAATTTAGAGATCTGACATCTTCACAACAGGATGAAAATATGGTATTTATGCATCCGTGTTTGCTGGACAGGGGTCCTGCTTTCTCTCTGTTAGAGTCCTAGGTAACTGGTATTTCTTGATGGAAGCGTAAATGGCACTGTTCAACATGTCCACTTTCTATGTGTCTATTGCCAGTACATAAAAATACCTAGATTTCAAGTTCTAAAGTTTGACGGTAGTTACACCTGTACCCTGCTCATTTTTTTGTTCCCAAAACAGCCTAGTATGCTGTTTCAGGTAATGTGTTACAAAGACACCCTCAATATACATCTACCAGAATAGAATGGAGCACCAGGGGCCAGATGGATTCAGATTTAGTATTTTAATGCGGCATGTAATTCCAGGGCTCTCCAAGATTAAGTAAGATATCTCACGCTGTAAACAATTT